ATATATATATATATATATAAATTAAGCATAATTTTAACGTTTAATCTTTATGTAAGTAAATTTATTTTTATCTCGTTATAAGGTAGTTTTTAATTGGTTGCAATATAGTGCAGATGAACGTATCTTATCGTATTATCTTTACCTTTGATATGAACAAATGGTTTAAATTGTTACAAATATTCAATAATATTATAATTTAGATTATTAATATTTAAAAATAACATTAATAATTAAAATATAATAATTTATTATACAAATAGAATAATTTTTGTAATTAAAAGTTCATACATATGTTATCGATATATAGATATATATTAGAAAATAACAAAATTATTAAAAAAACCTGAAAGGTTGACCCGCAAACCTGGCATATCAGAGTTTTAAGTCCACCTATCTATAATGAATAGCCCACTTACCCTATTTTTGAAGAATAGATCCATTTTGCCACATTGAAAAATCAATCCAGCTCAATCTTAAGTAATAAACCTATTTAATTACGTTACAAAGTCTACAAATACGTACGTAAATATTTTGAAGTTGATTACAGGCACACTCATGCAAAATATTTGCAGGCTGACCCACGCAAAACACGCAGACAGAGAAAATAACTTTGAAAATACTATCATGTCAAATAACCAATTTACACTTTTATGTGGAGAAAAATATCAATTTAAAACATAAATAAATAAAAAATAAAGTCATATATTTTTTCTACATAATTAGTATATTTTTATTCAATTACCTTAAAAACGTTCTCCCTTTTTTAAGTTTTATATATGAACCCTGTTTTATGTAAATAATATTGACAAATACTATTTTAAATCATTTTTTTAATCTTTTTAAGTGAAATTTTTATCAAAGGAAGCTTTACGTTTAGAAATTATTATCTAATATATTATGGATTTTGAAGAGGGGTCATTTAAATAAAAATGAAAATATTAAAAAAAAAGTGAAAGCCTTACTCGTATAGTGAGAAATTAAGAAACAGAATTTCTTGATAAATTTGGATAGCTATGTAATAATTGTTTGCTCGTAAATATATAATGATTTTATTATCTCGTCATTATTATATTGATGATGTAGTATTGTTTATATATCAAGAAGTGAATCAAATAAAGGATGTCATATCAATACAATTTCAAATATTTTGAGAACGTCGCAAATGTTTTGACAAATTTAGTGTTGATTGTAATAATTAGGTTATCGCTTTCATTGATTTCCTTTTAAGAGTTTTTATTTTACTCTTAAAATTTATTTTACTACAATTTTCACTTCTGCAAAACCTTCATCTCCGTTATCTTCTTCGTTTACTTCTCCATTTTTTATCCTTTTTGACCCTTTAAAAAACACTCTAAATCAGATTGAGAATTAGTTTGCTAGCCATTGAAAAATAATTCATATATAATTGATTTGGCTCATTCGTAAGTACTCTGAATTGTATCGAATCCAAATCCTTGAAAAACAAGTGTGTTTTAAGATATAAAATTGATAATTACGATTAACTTTTTATTAGAATTCTTAAATATTAATAAAACTATAACGGTTACTATCATAAATAAGGTATCCCAATAAGTCTTTATTATCATTGCTATTAAGAAAGCTAAATTCCAAGAAAGTGAACTATAGTTATTATTAAACATATTTACTCATTAAAATGAATGATAAAAATATAAAAATTAATTATTGTAAGGTTATTTAGAATATCTTTCGATAAACTTATCCATTAGGACTTTTAGAAAAGAAAAAGATTGAGGTTAAAATGATCTTATGCATTAGTTAAGGATGATGGAAAAATTTTCAACTTTTCAAATTTAATTTTTTAATTTTTTTATTATATTTTATTATAAATTCATTTTAAATTGTTTAAAAATAAATTATCTTTAAATATTTTTTTACAGTTATTATCTTAAGGTAGTGGTGAGTAGATGCAAGCAGAGTTCATAGAGTTTGTTAGCCAGCTAAAACTGAATCATCTCATAAATTAATTTCTGGTGTCCCAAACTCATTTAACATTTTTTAGTTCTTAAACAATAGACGCCACTTGGAGTTCTAAGCATATATAAAGCACCACCGATTGCTAATAACTCGCATCCCTACAAAGCTCTGATAGTTGCCTCCTATTTTCGAGTTGAAGAAAGTAAGATATCAGCAACTACTAGAGTTGAAGATGGCTTCCAAAACCCCTTCTTCCCTTCTTGCTCTTTTCCTCACACTCAACATCCTCTTCTTTGCCATTGCCTCTGCCACTAACCCAAAGCACGGAGGTTATGGTGGTTCCGGAGGTCATCAGTGGCCAGGTGTTCAGGAAGCAATGGAGGTTCTGGTGCCTCATGCCCTCGCGATGCACTCAAACTAGGAGTGTGTGCCAATGTTCTAAACGGGTTGCTGAACGTCACGCTGGGTCAACCACCAGTTACCCCTTGCTGCACCCTCCTCGATGGTCTCCTTGACCTTGAAGCTGCAGCCTGCCTCTGCACTGCCCTCAGAGCAAACATCTTAGGTATCAACCTCAACCTTCCCATCTCACTCTCCCTCCTTCTCAACGTTTGCTCAAGGCAGGTTCCACGTGATTTCCAATGTGCCTGATCATGGCATATACACAATTCCTTCCCATCATCGTGTTTTCTATTCATTCTTTCATTTCTTTCGTGCTTTCTTATTCATCAAGGGTGTGATTCTTGTACGTGCATGGATGCTTAACTCCATCTTATCATGTCACTGTAGTGTTTTCTTTTAATAAATTCCCATGCTTCTTATGTAAAGCAAAACAGTCAAACATGTCCGTCATTATTTTTTAACTGAGAAATGAAAATGTTTTTACAAGTAAAATACTCTTCATTTGTAGCTTTCTTTTTCTTGTTGTCGATTTGATATGGATTGCAGTGATCGGGAAACTTTCGTTACCCTTATAAGTTTCTGTCCACAGAGATTCAAGGACAGAATCAAAAGCTTATGCAAAACGTGCACAGTTACGTAGCCCGTGACTAACTTAAGTTTCAGTCCACGTGCATGCACTGTTACAGTGAAAGCATTGATATTTAACCAGATCAAAATTATAGACGAATGCAGTTTTAC